ACAGCTTGACTGCAACCTCATAAGGAACTCTGACCCAGAACCACCCAGATAAGTGACTCCCGTATTCCTAGATCCACAGAATGTGTGAGATAATACATATTTGTTGTTTTAAGCCTCCAAGTGTTTGAAGTAATTTGTTATGAACCCATATATTACAAATATGTCACAGAAAGGTCACTACCTGACCCGCCAAAGTAGTCTACATCCTCCACCCTCATTAACACTCCCATAGCACTGTGTGTGTACCTTCCCTTCATAGCATTGGATATGACTACAATTTTACACTAACTTATAAAATTAGCAGATTCATGTTTGTGTTCAACATTGAGTGGTAAGCTCCACGAACACAGGGACTCTGTATATCCATTATACTCCAAGTAACTAACATGGTATCTGACTGCCAAGAGAACATGCTCAGTTAAAACTGACATTCAACAAAACAGTACAAATGACATTATATTTATAAGCCTGGTGGTTCTACAATACTTTTTGACCAAGAGGAGTCTGATGTGAAGGATGATAGTAGCTAATAGTTACTTTTACACTGCTATGTGCTAAGCACTATTCTAAGCACTTGATAAATGTTAACTTGTTTAATCCACACAATAACCTCCTTAGATAGGTACTATTATTATTACTATTTTTCACTCCAAGAAATGGAAGCATAGAGAAGTTAGTAACTTGCCCAAACTACTGAATTGCTCTGCTGGGATTTATCTCAGGAGGTCTAGTTCCAGGGTCTCTGTTTCTAACCACCATGCTCTACTGCCCGTGTTTTACCACTTGGTTTTGACTTGATATTTGAGGTTGACACCTACATCTCCATTGGCTTCTTTCACTGTAGTCACTTCCCTAATTCTCCTTTGATTCAATATTCCATTTCTCACTCTTCTCTGGAGTACTTGAAATTTAACATAAATTTAGCTTAGTAACAGTTATCTGGTACTGATATCCACATTACATATTAAAACAAATGGCAAACATAGTTAGACACACAGAAGTGGAGAAAAAAAGTTACTTTCAAGTATTAACATCCTTCTCAATGTTTGACAGATAAAGCACTAAAAAAAATTATCCAGAAGATTTAAATGTTATAATTAGTAAAACTGCATTAATAGAAAATTACACTGAACTTTGGACCCTACAGACCCCCCATTTCAAGACTCCATTTAAACAGATTGATCACATACCATACCACCAAGAAAAACCTCAAATGGATTCCAAAAGGCAGAGTGATATAGGACACATTCTTCACTCAAACATAATAGAACAAACTGATAACAAAAGTTAAAAATAAACCTCACTATTTGGAAAGTAAAACTTACAGAGTCTTAAAATTCATGCTCTACAGTTAAACAGATCCTATCCGCTTGACCTACTAAGTGTGTAATCTTAGGTAAATTCCTGAATTTTTTCTAATCCTCACCATGGTGAAATTGAGATGAAATAAGGCATGTATAGTACTTCGCTGGGCTGGCACTCAGTACACTCTCAATCACTGAGACTTATCCTTATTTTTGTTGTTGCTCCTGAATGGTTATTAGTATTCCTGAAAGTATATTACAGAATGCAGCCTGGCAGAATGCCTTCCCTGACCACTTGTTCTGTGATCTTATACTAGCTATCATTGCCATTGGATCTGCCTGAATAATTCAAGAAATACTGAAGGACCACTCTGAGCCAAGTAAAACACACACAGAATGCCTGCCTTACAGTATAGTGCAGGCGTTCTCAATGGAGGTGATATCGTACCTAGAGGCTTCAGGGCACAGCAAGTTACCCAGTGTTGTTGCAGTGAAGAGAGTGATGAAGAAGGTGTTGGGAGATGTGGCCCAAGAGGTAAGGGCTGGGGAGAGGACAGATTCTACAAGGTCATGTGGGACCTCATAAGCTCTCTTGGTCTTATATAAGACTTAGAATTTCAGAGAGATGGGGAAAAAGTTTCTGTGGAAATATATAAACATGATACAAACTTACTGTTACAATATTTTTCTAGTTTTCGCAAAAAACGGATATTTGGGAACCGAAGACCATACCATCTGAATCTCTGCACATACACAATTCCCCTACTTTGTTTTAATACATAACTTACTGTTTTTGCTAAATCTGCATTAAAGATTGTTTAACAGATTTATCTTAGTCCTTTGGATGCTATGGTTTTGAGAACCATAGAAATTAATAGCAGAGATGCCACCTTCCAAATATTTGGCCAGTGGTGTTAGCAATGTCATAGGACAAATAATAAAGTTTAGTTATTTAGTTTAATAATTATTGTGTGCCTAACCCATGCTAAACAATGTGCAGATATTAAAGATAAATGTAACAGGAAGGGGGGGCAAGAATAGGCGTAGGGGATTAAGAGGTACAAACTACTATGTATAATAAAGAAGCTACAAGGATATATCATGCAGCACAGATTCCAATATTTTATAATAATTATAAATGTAGTATAACCTTGAAAAATTGTGAATCACTATTTGTACACCTGAAACTTATATATTGTAAATCAACTACACCTCAATAAAAATGTTAATAAAAACATAAAACTTTAAAAAATGTAATTAAAAGGAAAACATAACTTTAAAAAGATAAATGTAACAAAGTGAATATGTTACCTGTCAACTCTCAATGAATTTGAGAGTCTAGCAGAAGGAGTATGTAACTAGAATACCAGACCACAATAATAGCAGCTGCCACTTACAGAATCCTTACCATCTGCCAAGCTCCATGCTTCCTATCTGTCCCCTGGTTAGATCTGCACAACATTCGTACAGGTAGCAGTTACCACCCCCATGAGAAGGCTGCAGACACTCAGTCAGAGGGTTAAATAATATGCCCAAGATCACAGTCAGTAAGACTTGAGAGTGTGACCAAGGCATCTGACACCTAAATTCACACCTTACTTACTAACACTTCTTTATATTGCTATTTGTGTTCCCTTCATGCTCCACAAACATCTAGGATTTTAATAGGTAACTAAATCTGTCTTCTTGTTTGTTCCTCAGTTCCCTGTTAGGACCCCACCAGTTTTGAACAATATGCTGTGGGAGAGAATGAGAGGCAAGTATCCATGCCTAATGATGGAAGGACTGTGGAAAACTGCATGGACAAGTACAGGTGGGTAGCTAATCTTAACCATTTGGGGACTCCTCTGGTAGATTTCTCTGTTGGACTCTGTTTCTGAGCTGAAATACTTCTCCTTAAACCTTATATACAGTGGCCTTTGTTCTCCTCATTTGAGAACATAAAGAAAATAGGATCTATCTCTCACATGGTGATAGCTTCCTGGTCTAAGGTCTTTCTTACTAAGCAGTCATTATTCTATTCATTATGTCTTATATGGCACAATGTTGGGTGCTCTCAGCAGCCTCCTGGTCATTTATCTCCACCCATATACCTGATCTCATATGATCCTGGAAGCTAAGCAAGCTTGGGCCTGATTAGTACTTAGATGGGAAAGCACCTGAGAAAAACGGATGCTGTAGGTTTTTATTGTGAAGCCAAGAAACACCGAGGATTATTTCCAGGCCTTAAAACCTAGTGAAGCTCACTCAGCTGGATTTCAAAACTGCACTGGACTAGTGGCTCCATTTTATCTCCCATTTCTCCCTTGTTTAAACTGGAATGTCTGTAACTGTTATCCTATGCCTGGCCCATCATTGTCTATTGGGAACAGATAAGTTCTTTCTTTAGTTTCATAGGTCCACTGACAGAAACTGTGCCTCGTGCATTGTACATAATAGATTATACCAAGAGCCTCATCCATACATAATTTTAGATGACTTAGACAATGGGGATTTTGAACTGCTGAGATTTAGATGAGATTTGGGAGCTTTGAGTTGACGCTGTAATGGGATAAGACCTTTAGAGAACATGGCTTGGGGCAGATGTATTTTTTTATTTGGGAGGGACGTCAATCTGCCAGGGGCAGAGGGCAGGTTGTGGTCAGCAGAATCATGCTCCCTACCAAAGATGTTCACTTAAAGCCTGATATATTATATGGCATGACATAAGGGACTTTGCAGATACAATTAAGGCTATAGATATTAAGATAGGTAGATCATCCTGGATAATCGAGGTGTGTCCAATCTAATCACATGAGCTCTTTCAAAGCTCATAACTTACTCTGACTGAAGACAGAAGAGAGATGTAGCAGATAGGGAAGTCTGCGAGATCCTAAGCATGAGAAAGATTCTATGTGCCATTGCTGGTTCTGAGATGTAGGGGCCATGTGTAAGGATATGAGAAGGTCTCTAGGAAATAAGGATGGTCCCCAGTTGATAGCCAATAAGGAGTGGGGACCTCAACTCTACAGACACAAGGAACTAGATTTGGCCAACAATCTAAATGAGCTTTGAAGCAGATTGATCTCAAGAACCTCTAGAAAAGAGCACAGTCCTAACAACACTGGTTTTGGCCTTATGAGTCAAAGCAAAGGATCCAGTTGAGCCATGATATACCAGAACTACTGATCTGTGAGCTAATAAATTTCTGCTTGCTAAATGTGTGGTAATTCGCTATGGCAGCAACAGAAAACTAATAAAAGGTGGTTAATCTTTCACTAATCTTTGGAATGCCCTATTACGCAGTTCTTTCTACAATGAGGCGGCATACATGGCTCTGAAGCTTCTATATGCAGATGTATGCTCTATTCATTCAAGGACAAAAGAAAAAATCAGGTTCCTCTTCCATGATAACAGGTTCTTATTCCATGATGACAGCTTCTCAGTCCAAAGTCTTTCTTACTAAAGAGTCCTATTCTACCCACTGTTTCTTATATGATACGTATCAGGTGCTCTCAGCTGTACCCGGGTCACTTATCTTAGTCCATTTCTATATCTTAGGTCAGATTCCTAAGAGACATAGTCTGATACAGGGGCTTTTGTAAGTGATTTCTTAAGAGAGAGCTCATAGGGGAACCCATATGGGATGGAAACCATATGAAGAAGAGAAGAAAGTTAAGCAAGGATGCTGTTATATAGAAAATCCTGCCTGATCCAGGCCAAGATGGTGGAGTAGGAAGACCCTGAACTCATCTCCTCCTATGGGCACATGAAAGTTACAACTACTTGCAGAGCAACTATCTATGAGAATAATCTTAAGACCAGCAGGAAAGATCTTCCACAACTAAAGATATATATAAAGAAAGAACCACAATGAAATGAGTGGGAGGGGCAGAGCCACAGTATAGTCAGGACCCATTACCCAAGGTAAGCAACCCACAAACAGGAGGAATATCATAATGGTAGAGCTCCTCCCCAAGGAGGGAGAGGTCCAGGTTCCATGTTGGGCTCCTCAGTGTGGGGGTCCTACACTGGGAAGGCAAACCTGCAGGATTTCTGGCTTTGTAAACCAGGGAAACTTAATGCTCCAGGGAGATGAAGGGCTACATGAAACTGAGACTCTACTCTCAGAGAGCGCATGCAAAATCTCACACACTCTAAGTCCTAACACAGAAGCAATAATTTGAAAGGAGTCTGGGTCAGACCCACTTACTGATCTTGGAGAGTCTCCCAGAGAGGCAGGAGGAAACTGGGACCCCACACCCCAGCCATCTCCCTCCAGGGACAGAGATGCTGGTAGCAGTCATTTTGGAGGATCTCACTCTACTGCAATGACACCAGTGCCACAAGAGCCAATTTGGAACCCTCTCTCTAGCCTATTATCACTGGGGTCCTACCCAGCCATCAGTGGGCTGGCACCAGGCCCATGACCCACCGGCTGTGCTCCCAGCCACACCAGAACCTGGCCCCATCAACTAGCGGGCCAGCAGCAGTACCAGCTCCCCAATGTTGCATACCTAGCCATGTAGACACACAGTCAACCCACCAGCAGTCTGGCATGAGCACCAGACCCCACAGGCCACACACCTAGTGGCTCAGAAAGGCTACCTCGCCCACCAGCATACACACAGCTATTGCACAAGGCAAGACCTTGTAGCCCTCAGGGCCAGAGGCCAGCACCCCCTAACATCACTTCCACAGTAGTTGGATCTCCCACAACAGAAGGGCATAAGCAACCCGCATAGGGGACACCCCTAGAGCATACAACTCTGATGATCAGAGGGGAGAATGCTGCTAGATCTCATAGGATGTCTCCTACATAAATGCCACTTCTCCAAGACCAAGAAATGTAATGAACCTACATCATACATAGAAATAAACACAGAGAATTGGGCAAGTTGAGGAGACAGAGAAATATGTTCTAAATGAAAGATCAAGACAAAAGCAGGAAAAGAAAGAAACAAAGTGGAAATAAGCAATCTACCCAATAAAGAGTTCAAAGTAATAATCATAAAGATATGGGAGAAGAATGGGTGAACACAGTGAGAATTTCATCAGAATTAAAAAATAAACAGAAGAACCAAACAGAGCTGAAAAATACAATAACTGAAATAAAAAATGAACTAGAAGAAATCAACAGCAGACTAGATAATACAGAGGAATAGATCAGCAATCTGCAAGACAAAGTAGTGGAAATCACCCAAGCTGAACAGAAAAACAAAATAAAAGAAATGAGTACAAATTAAGAGACCTCTCAGACAACATCAAGCATACTAACATTAACATTATACGGCCCAGAAGGATAAAAGAAAAAGGAAGGGGCAGAGAAATTATCTGAAGAAATAACAGCTGAAAACTTCCCCAACCTGGGAAAGGAAAAACATCCAAGTCCAGGAAGCACAGAGAGTCCCGAACAAGATGAGCCCAAAGTGGTCCGCATCAAGACACGCTGTAATTAAAATGGCAAAAATCTGATAAGGGCTTAATATCCAAAATATACAAAGAACTCACACAATTAAACATCAAAAAAAAACCTGATTTAAAAATAAACCAGAGGACCTGAAAATACATTTTTCCAAAGAAGACATGCAGATGGCCAACAGACACATGAAAAGACACTTAACATCACTAATCATCAGAGAAATGCAAATTAAAACCACAAAGAGATATCACCTCACACCTGTCACAGGGTTATCATCAAAAAGACAACATATAACAAGTGCTGGTGAGGATGTGAAGAAAAGGGAACCCTTGTGCACTGTTAGTGGAACTGTAAGTTGATTTGGCTACTATGGAAAACAGCCCTCAAAAAATTAAAAATAGAACTGCCATATGAACCAGCAATTTCATTTTTGGGTTTTACCCCCCTAAAAAGCAAAAACACTAATTCAAAAAGATACATGCACCCCCAATGTTCACTGCAACATTATTTACAATAACAGATATAGGGAAGTAACTTGTGTCCATCAATGATGACTGGATAAAGAAAATGTAGTATAAATATTTCATGAAATGTTAGCCAAAAAAGAAAGAAAGAAAGAAATCTTGCCATCTGCAACAACATAGATAGATCTAGAAGGTATTCTGCTAAGTGAAATAAGTCAGAGAAAGACAAATGTCATACGATCTCACTTACATGCAAATCTAAAAGCCAAAACAAACAGAACAAAATGAAAAAAGACTCACAGATACAGAGAACAAACAAGTGGTTGCCAGAGAGGAGGGAAGAAGGGTAGGGAATGAAATAGGTGAAGAGAATTAATAGATACAAACCTCCAGTTATAAAACAAATAAGCCACAGAGGTGTAGTATATAGCAAAAGGAATATGGCCGATAATACTGTAATAACTTTGTATGGGGACAGATAGTTTTTATATTGTGGTGATCACATAATGTGTGCAAAGGTCAAACTACTAGGTAGTACACCTGAAACAAACATAATATTGTATGTCAACTATACATCATTTAAAAAATAAAAAGAAAGAAAATCTGAGCCTGCACAATCTCCAGGGAGTAAACCGTGCTCCAGAATCTGTTCCACTTGAGGCCAAGGGGCTGGGCTTCTCTAACCCTGCTCTAGTCAGTCACTGCCTGGAGGCTTATGGACAGGCGGAAGTTTGGAAACTCTAGTCACCTGAAGATACACCTCTAAGAAAGATCAGGTATGAGTCTTAGCAGCAGCACCCACAGCCCCTGGAAGATGGGTACATATGCCAAGTAAATGGGATGCCAGGGGGTCTGAACCAGGCAAAATTAGTATCTGCTACAGTTTATGATTCAGAGGTTGTGCACAGAATGCCAACTTTGATCTAAATCAGCATGGAGTGAGTAAGGTTGGATTCCATTTCTTTTATTCTAGATAATTGGCTTTAAAACTTTCATTTTAACAGTATAAGTCTGTTTTGTCCCCAAACAAAATTCTGTATCACACACACAAACACACACACACATACACGATAAAATTATTTGAGCATCTACAATGTTTCAGACAGTGTGAAAGTACCTTTAGATAGGGAGGAAGTAAAGCAGATTGGTCCGTGCCCTTATGAGACTTACCGTTTGGTAGGAGAGGCAGAAGAAACATGTAAAGAAACAAAAACTGCTAATGTACACAGAAGGTAAGTGCTGTAATAAATAATAGCAATAAATGGATGCTGAGATGGAGAAAATGGGGACAGGAACTGTTATGATCCAGATCAATGCTGAACAAGTGGTCAAATTTCTAATTCTCTAGCTCTGAACTGTAGTAACAATTAAGGTATTTTATTTTTCCCTGTTGTTATCCCCCTTTAATCTAGTAGTCACAGAAGGCCTCCTAGAGGGGGTGACACTCAAGCCAAGACCTGAAGGACCTTAAGGATGAGCAGGAGCCAGCCATGCAAACACCTGTGGGGAGAGCAGTCCATGTACAGAACAAAGAAGTAGAAAAAAAGTGGCTCTATTATGACTGATCGGGTGGGAGGAGAGGAAAGGCCTAGAGAGCCCACTCACTCCAGGGATCCCTGAAGCACCTCTGTCAACTCCAGGGCTCCTTAGAATGCCATTTGAGAACTATCATTCCAGGTCTCATACTTCTAGTCACAGATTCTAAAACTGGATTGAGGAAAGTCACTGCCTTTCTGTCCAGTTGCTCTCAGGGACCACCCAACCATCATTCTATATTCCTGGAACTTTATACACTTTTCCTCATGTCCCTTTCTCACTCAAGGACTTGGAGAAGGCGTGGGAGAGGGAGGGCCTGGCTGCCTCACAGCTCCAACCAGAGTGCCCATTTTAGAGATGCCAGCAGAGGATGACATATGAATCAACAGTGTGTTCCCTGCACACCCCCACGGTCCAGATGGCTGCACATCACAGGAGCAGAAGAAGGCTCCTACGCAGAAAGACCTCCCAGGCTGGAGACACGTGCCATACTACAGACCATGAGAGAACACAATGTGGCAGCGGTGGTGACATTTTTATAGAAAAGGACATAGTCTTTCTTTTGCTGCAGATTTTCATTTCAAACACCCATCTGTAGTAAAATCTTACAGTGTAAGATACTGAGCGCTCATAGAATTAGAAAGCACCACAGGAACTAGCTGGTGCAGCTTCTCACTCACAGTGTGAACCCCTTCATATCCCTGATGTGGCTCACTGAGCTGAAGCTTGAACAATTTTAGATCCGGGCAGTCACAATTTCATGAAGCAACTCAGACAGTTGGAAAGTTCTCTCCTTATATATGTTAACTCTAGAGCTCCCTCTAGCTCTCCTCCATCTGGTCTGGTTCTTCATTACACAGAATTTAATACTAACACCCACACTGGACATTCACCGAGGTCTTGCCATGTCCCAAGCATTTTGCTAAGTACTTGATATAAAATATCTCATCTAACCTTCAACCCAAACGTGGGAGAACTAATCTTATCCCCACTTAGTGGGAGGAAACCTAAGTCTCAGAGAGGATAATGGAGCAACCCAAGATCAGACTACTGAGAAGCAAAGCTGAGATTTGGACCCACAGCTGTCACTCAGCAAAAGCTCAACCGAGCTGTTGACATGCAACCTCCTTTTCAAAAGATGTCACTCCAAGTATGGGAATCCAGCTCACCTCTCTCTCCAAGGGATTTTTATTCTCTACCTGAAATATCTCCAAGTCCTTGTGCCATTCTTGGTAGAACATAAGAGCCCAAGTAAGAATCATCCTGGCTTCCCCCTGGAAAAGCTCCAGCTTCTAATACTCTTTCTAAAACATGGTGCCAAAAACTGCCCATTCCACACACAGCCTGACAACAGGAGAGTCCGTTAAGTCCATCCTTAAATATCTTCTCAAGCAGCCAAAAATTAGTCAGCCATTTCAGCCACTGTGAGTTGAAACTGTTCTGCATCAAACAGAAATGCTCCTGAATCAGAAATGGAGAATATGAAAACAAATATACGTATGTATATGCATGACTGGGACATTGTACTGTACACCAGAAATT